GAACAACATCACGAGGAAGACTGGCAACCATTCTAGGGCTACCCAAAGGCTGTCAACCGGTAACTCTACCAAGATCACCTTATTGAGGAAGATCTTGACTACTTTGAACCTCAGAGTTGCCTAGTGACTGACTATTGTCATCCCTAGATAGGCTACCTAGTTCACCACGGTTACTGTATCTAGGATCAGACTGACAATTATTTTCATCAACAACAGGTCCTATATTCTCATCATCGGGTCCCACAATATCAAAATCATTATAAGAACGAGACAAAGTATCAAAGAAATTGATACTATTAATTTCTCCAGTATTAGCATGATCAGTCTTGTCATTACTCATCTTAAAAGGGAAAACACTTTCATAAAATTTGACATCCCGAGAAAAAATAATTTTCTTGATATCCAGACTGTAAAGTCTATAACCCTTTTTTGAATTGACTTAACCCAATATAACACATTTTTCAGACTTAGGATAAAAATTATGTATGATGTTGGGTATATGTGCAAAACAGAGACATCCAAAAATTCAGAGATGAGTAAGGACTGGCTAAAAACCATACACAAAATCATAGGGACTCTTACCATTTAGAAGCGAGATTGGAGTTCTATTTATTATGTATGTGGCAGTTAAAATACATTCAATCCACATATTAAGAGGGACTCCAGCCTAAAACATGAGAGCCCTAACAACGTTAAGTAAGTGTCTGTGTTTACGTTCCACAACCCCATTCTGCTGGGGTGTATACACACAAGAGGTTTGATGAATAATTCCTTTAGACTTAAAAAACTCACTTAACTATTGATTAGTAAACTCATTTCCATTATCACTTCTAAGGTTTTAACAAACTTTCCAAACTGAGTAAACAGAAGATTGCAAAAACTTTCAACGTATTCATTGACCTCATGTTTTCCTTTTAGGAGATAGACCCAAACAGCACGAGTAAAATCATAGACAATGGTTAGAAAAAATTTGTATCCTTCTTTACTTTGGACATGGTATGGACCCCATACATCTAGGTGAACAAGTTCACCAAGACTTTTGCATTTATGTGTACTAGTGCCAAATTTTTTCCCGTGTCTGTTTTGCCTTATAGCAAATTTCACATTGACCACTACTTTTACTACTAACATTAAGTCTTTCTTTCAAAACATGAAGCACTTGGTCAGTTGGGTGACCAAGACGACTATGCCATAATTGAGACGAGACAAAACAAACCATACCACAATTGTTTGAAGGAAAAGAGATGTTACTGCTAGGGTCTAATAAAAAATATATAGCCCGCCATCCTAACTACCAGTCCCCACAATACTCTTTTGATGACAGTCCTAAACATAACACTTAGTTTCATCAAATCTTATAAGAACTTTATTATCCCTAGCCACCTTGTGGACAGATAGAAGATTTACATTAAATTCTGGAACAATAAGAACATCAAAAAAAGTAACATTATTGGATAGTTTCAAATTTTCAGTTTTATTTATCTTGGCTTTAGTCCCATTTGAATGACCAACCCTAAGATTTAAATCAGTGACATCAACAATATTTTCTAAATTCAAGGAGTTAGAAGTCATATGTTAATTAGCTCCAGAGTCAATTATCCACCCAGATTGGGAACTTTGAAACATACATTAGCTCCATCAAAAGTAGGTTTTTGATCGATTAAGCTCAAAATTTTAGCAACTTGTTCTTCTGCAAAAGTAAAAGATGACTTAGGAAAAAGAGAATCAGAAGTAGAAACATTTCCAGCAGTAGGTCTGAAACTAGGATTTTGGAGTTTGAAATTTTGACTTTGGTTTTGAGGTCTGGGTCGGTTCTGAAAATCTTTAGGGAACCCTATTAGTTTGAAACAATGTTCAATAGTATGTCCAGTGTTACCACAGTGCTTACAGACAAGATTAGTGGGGTTTCTTCCTGGTTTTCTTCTATTATCAAAACTTTTACTCAAGAAAGCAGAACTTTGGGTTTTAACACGATTTTGATTTACATTAACTCCTCTATGAGATTATTCCCTTGAAACGAGTGAAAAAGCAGTTTTGACAGAAGGAAGAGGATCTCTAATTAAAATGTTACGTCTAATTGGTTGGTAAATGTCATCTAAACCATAAGGAACTGCATGAGCTTAATCAAGTGACTGTGTTCCAAAAAATCATGGGAGGCCTTGTAAGTACAGGACGAAAGTTTTACAAGAGTATCAAATTGCTTCCAAAAAGAATTTAGCTTATGATAGTACACAGAAACAGACATATTGTTTTGACTTAGAGAGTTAATTTTATGATAGAGATTAAATGTGACCGACCCATCGACTTTGTCATAGGTTTCCTTTAGCTCCTCCGAAACTTGGGAGGATTCTTTTGAAAAAAACTTGTCCAAGAAACAAGTCCTCAGTCATGGAGCTTAAGATCCATGAGAGAACCACATAATTACAACGATCCTACTATCTCTCTAGGATAGGGTTGTTTATCGGACGCGGACATGAACCATCAATGAAACCTATTTTATTTTTAGTTTCTAACACCAATATCATAGCACAAGACCAAAATATGTAATTCTCAGTCCCACTTAACTTGAAAGATAAGATAAAACCTCGACTAGTGTCACTAGGATGCAAATACAGTGGATCTCCAAAGTCTAATTTTGTGACTTTGGGTTCAATGAACTTACAGGTGCAACTGGTGAAGATTCCATAAGGCAAGAAGAGGAGCACACAACAAGGAACTGGAAAGCTTAAAGACAGGATTCCTAAAACACTGAAACATGCTAGGTCAAGCCAACAATTTAGATTCCTCAAAAGGAAGAGGAACACACAACAAAAAATACACAAGAGAATACAACAGCCTTACCACAGAATCCTCTAACAGAGTTAAAGGAAGAAATAACAAGAAAACTACCTGCCTACTTCTAACTTTTGTTAAAAGCAAGAAAAAAGAACAGATATTGGAGAACAGATCCAGGATGCACCTGAACAAACAACAAATATTAGAACATAAGAGAATACTAGATCTGGAAGGACACAGATCTTGACATAAGAGGATATAGATTAATGAACATGCAATAATATGTACAACAGATGCAAGCAATCAACCAAAGATATATCATAAAATGGGACCACAATAGATCGAAAGGATCTAATAAAGGCTCAACCCGATCGATCATAAGAAAAAATATCTTCACAAGCGACAGTCAAGATCTAAAGGACCATAGATCTTTGATAGTCAATAAAAACCTCCACAAAAAGAATCAATATAGCCAAAAACACACATACATTTTATGACATAAGCGGATCTGGAAAAAGGACACAGATCTAAAGAAAAGAAGTAGATCTGGAAAATTGACACAGATCTGAAACAATAAGCAGACCTGGAATATGGACACATATCTTAGCAAAAACATAGAATCAAACATGCAGTTATATGCATTCAATCATGACATAAGCAGATCTAGAGTACAAAAGAACAGATCCAAAGAAACCTAAAAGCTCAAAATCATAAGGAGAACAGATCTCGAAAGGGGAGCAAGGAAGACCAACCGATCTATATGGTACACAACCCAGTCTATCATTTCATAGAAAAAGAATTAAAGAAACACGAATCAGATATCATGGTAAGATCTGGTAGTCAAGAGCATAGAAGCTTCATGCACCAAGAACCCTAACCATTCACCTATCTGTTTCCAAAGATCGATAGAAACAAATGAAGAAATCAATGAAACTGATACCATGTTAAACGAAATATATCCAAACATTTACTTTATTGAGATCATTTAAAACAATGATGTAATAAGAGAAACATATTACAAACATATGAGATTTAACAAATCTAATGCTTTCACAACTCGTATACAAAACAGAAAGTAAAATACTAACACTAACGAGAGAGAATAGAATAAGATCTTTGAGAAAGAGAGCTTCTTTAGGCTGAATTCAAAATTGAAAGTGAATTATGAGCTTAATCTGGGAAAGAAACAGACTTATATAAGTTTCCAATAAGCCATATTTACCCCTTGAAGTTCTAGCACACGGACTCCGCTACCCTTCATCTTTTCCCATTAGTGAGGCGCAGTCCTTCCCTTGTTACAAACAACAACATTTTGTTTAATTGACAATATCTACCCCAACCTGTTAACACTTTATCAAATAAGGACAAACAAGGGTTAAGTTAGTCAAGATTGGAATATATATATACCTTTTAACATAATATTCGTTCATCGGGCAATTTTTGCTCAGTCGAGGTTTGTTTTGTTTTACCTCGGCAGGTTCAGAATCTAACTTAGGGACAGGATAAAGGGTCGAGATGGCTAAGGATGTTAAAAGACTAGCGGTTGAATATAGTGTTTTTGTTATGTTATTATGTGAATATGTTAATGCTATGAAATATAATGGTTGTAATGTTTTTTTTCTGGAGTTTCATTAGAGCTTCGTACCGTAAATGGTAGACTTTTGATCCGTTTTCGATTGTGACATGTCTCATCTTAAGTTTAGTTGGATGAGATGTTACAAATAGTGTTATTAATACCTGAATAGATGAAGCCTAGAATTGCCCATTTTCCAAATTCATGTTACTTCATCTAAGGGATTGTTTGTTTACCTCTTGATAGTTCCATTAAGTGGTGGTCTCTGAACGTTAAGAGATGAATCTTGTTTGGCAAAAAAAAAATTCTCTTAATAGTCCTAAAACTCTTTGAATGATTTTGTATATGGGGTCTCCCTTAACCATTCAGCGACCTGATTTCATATTAAATAATTACCAAAAAAATTATATTTTATTTTGCATTATATCATGAGTCTCTCAATTATTTCGATCACTTTACCATTCTACACCAAACCATTCAGTAACCAGTAATTTTGCCACAAAAAAATAATATATGTATATATCTTTCATAATTGATGTGTTGTCGTCAACATGCATGCATACATACTCACTCAACACACATGTTATTACATATATATGTATATATATTGTATATTATATTAATTTACAAAATTATAATCATGGTCAGTTGGTCATCTTCTTCCTCCTGCACATTCCCATGCAGATGCTGTAATCAGACATTTATCTTGCCAAGCTAACGATATCGCATTCCCTTCTTCTCTTTCAAACGCACAAAACCCTCCATTTTCACCACCAAACTGAATCGGACAATAATGGCTACTGATCTTCAACAACAGTTTTGCTTGAATTATCGATTTTGAACTCAGATTCATCCCTGAAAACCCATGATTTTCGAACCTTCCTTTCCATGTTTCCATCCTCTCGTATTTCGGAGAATTCGATTCATCATCATCGAGGTCCATTAGCCGTTTGATCTCTTTTCCCAGATGGTTTTTCTCGATCTGTAGCCTTTGGGGATTATCCAGCGGAAGGAAGTCGTCTAGCGAATCGAACATGGCTGCATAATAATGCAAAAACTCCATGAATCTGGAGAGAAAGGTTCGTGGGCTTCGACCGCCTTCCTGTTCGACTAAAACCACAATCGAAGGGTTTAGAATGTGGATCGATTTCAACGTCTCGGAGATGTGTGTGAAGTTGTGTAACGAGTTTAGGTAAAAGACCGAGTTGACAACGACCGTTTCGTTCTTCTTTTTCGTTATTGATCTCAATCCGGAACAACTTCTGAGCTTACCTTCGAACTCGAAGTTTAGGTTCCGGAAGGTTTTGGCGAAGCTGACTAGCCTCGCCTTTGTCTCTTCTAGATGTTCCAGGGTTCTGCCAAACCCTGTTATCAGAAGAGACACACGGTTTCCTGTAGTGGCCTTGTCTGATAGCGACTGCATGAGGGAAGGCCATTGGAAACCATAGGCGATGTCAAGGTCGATTACGTGCAATGCCCGATTGTTATCTTTTTCTTCGCGTTCGAATGCTTCCATGATTGCTTGGTTGGCGGTGAAATGAGCGAATTGGTAATAAGGCGAGACTTTATAGAGTTCAATATACGCTAAAAACTCGTCTTCGGGTGTCGGTTCTTTCATTATCATCTCGTGAAACGGTGATCGTCTCGTGAGAAGCCTCGCGGCCAACCCATCGGCAAAATAAGCGGCCACCCGCTGGACGGAATCGCCATTCAACGACACGTCTTGATACAACTCCTTCAGATTCTCAACAGCGGATTCAATCTTGTTTTCATCGAGAGAAGTTGCGGAAACCAGTAACAGATGGATCAAATGAAGCCCTTTCCCATCTTCTCCATTGTTGTTTGCTTCTTTTCTCTTGTTCTCCTTTTTCAACATCATCTCTCTCGTCTCCAAGAGACTCAGAATCTTTCCTTCAGAAACGCCATTGACGATCTCAGAAGCTCTAAAAACTTCTTTTCGCTTTCTTTTCATCTTCCGACCAGAATCAATGACGATGGCGAGCCCAAGACTCAGACGCCTCTCGTCCTCTAAACCCTCCATTTTTAAAAACTTCTGCAAACTAAACTCAGAGAATCGATCGACTGAAGAAGGAGGCTATGGAGGAGTGATGATGGATTGTGGGGTTTTAAAGCCGATTAGAGAACAGAATCATCGATGGGAAGCTGTGAAAATACTTGTCGTATTTAAAGAAGAAAGGGATCTTAGAATAAGATAGAAATTTGAACCTAACAAATATCAAGTCGTATGATGCCATTGAAAAGTTAATTAGCTGTGATATGATATGCTTCGTGTAGTTCAAGAAAGGAGCATTCATGAGATGCCAATTTCTAAGTATGAGGAATCTAATCGACCTACCTTTCTATAACCTTGTCTTATACAACCCTAAAGATGCGATGCCTTGTGGGACTTACCAAACCAACGACTAATTCTATATCTGGATCAAAGTCTTCTGATATTTAATATATTATGTTTGGTCTTATAAACTGAAGTTATATAGAACACTTTATTAGGACACTTCAACATTTTTGGCTTCCTATAAACCTGATTTTGATGTAATTTAACAATGGGTATATATTCGGTACAACAACTTGTATGCACCTCGACTATCATATAGGGTTCTGATGTTAACCGTCAAAGACAAATCCACGAATGGTTTGGACGAGCAAAACCGTCTGTCTATTAGTATGTTAAATCTTGATTTTTGAACAAGATCCTAAAGTTTGGGACCCAATTTCTTGGGACCCGGACTTATAGTTCGATCTGTAAACTTACATCAATAAAGCCCAATCTAATTTCTTTCAAAATTAAAAACGGGTGTTTAATTTCAAAATTTGCCGATTAAAAACCAAAATTATTGTTTGATATTTTTCTCAATTTATCATTTAAACATTTTTGGTATTTTAATTTGTAAGAATTTTAATACGATATAAAATTTTATATCTTACTTTATTTATTACTCATTTCAGATAATTTATAGTTTTAATAAAGAGTAAGAGGACCTTAAAAAAAATGGGTCAACCCTCCGAATGAGACTAAGAGGCTGTTTACTAAACGTTTACCCGGTAAGTGCATATTTGGTAATTTTTCTTACCAGATGAACACGACAAGGGCTAAAAATCTATCTGGTAAGAACAAAGGTAAAGATGAAGAATCGTATTCAGTAAGTGAGTATGACGACTCTTACCCAAGTAAACGCTTACTGTTCCAGACGATACTATTTTGATGTACTACAATCTTACATGGTAAAATAAATTACAGTGTTGATTCCTAAAGATAAACTTTTAACGGATAAATATTTAGGTAAACGACACTTATAGACACCGAAAAGCAGACCAAAAATCTTACTGATCGAACTTTCCGTCAAAATATATAAAATTGAGTCTACTTATAATTATATTTATTGTTGACCGGTCAATTGCATAAAAGTTAAAGCAGTTGTAAACAACAAAATGGGTTTGTAATTATAAAAGAGATTTACTTCCGTAATAACTCTAAAACTTAATTTTGATTCTATTGCCATATCATTTCGACAAGGAATATTTTTTTATCTTTCAACAATCACATAATTCGACAAGGATAAGCGCTTACCGAGTGTCAGGGACCGTTTACTAAATATTTATCTGGTAAGTGTGAATCGGGTTTATTTTTCTTATCTGATGTACATGACAAATGCTGAAAATCTTACCCGGTAAGAGCGATAATAAAGATAGAGAGTCTTACCCGATAAGTGATAGGTGGCGTTTGTTTTTTAAGAGGTGCTGAAGTCTGAAGTCTGAATTCACTTCTGAATTTTAAGAGGTGGTGCTGAAGTCTAAAATCTGAATCAGTCAGACTGTTTGTTTTTACGTCTGAAATCTGAAATCTGAATCAGTCAGACTGTTTGTTTTTCCATCTGAAATCTGAATCTGAAAATATTACGACGCGTGTTGTAGGCTCAGATCCACGACACGTGTTGTAGGCTGATTCCAACAGTTACAAGACTAATATAAACACAGATGATATCCGAAATACAAATCGATTGAAAATAATCCCTAATTCCACATAATCCATCCTTTTCTTTTCCCTAACATCCGCTGGAAAATAAGAAAACGTCTACACAAAAACAAGAAAACTAGTTATATCCCCTAACATCCAAGAAAATGTCTACACAAAAACACGAAAACTAGTTATCCGATGTTTGCCGCCATCCATTCAGCTTGTGTGAACATGGCCCTTTGTCTCTTCTTCAAAGCAGCAGCCTCAGAACTCAGCCCGACTGGCGGGGCGGTGGACGTCAAGCAACTATCGATTGAGTGGTCCATAAGTCGTGCAGTCGAATTAGGAGGGTGCTCGTTTTCAGTATGGGTTGCAATTTGGGTGAGTGAAGGGGTTGGAGTGACAGATAGCGGGCAGTCGTTGGCTACCTTGATTGCGAGCTCGGACAACTCTTCCATAGCTGCCTCTAGTCCAGCAGTCGTGATTGTCTGATCGTTTAGAGCTTTACAAGCTTTTTCCAAGATTGATTGAAGATACTTTCCTTGTGCTCCGATCCGCAGTTGGAGGCGATGCTGAACCTGAAATTGATGGATCAATCTCCAAAGGCCGAACAACCATAATTCTTATCGGGGAAAAAACTTCATTTCCATCCCGACTCAAACACACCAAGATATAATAAAACATATCTAGAACTGATTACGGATAGAAATCAAGAAGGTGCCAACAAACACACCAACTTGTAACTGCAAACAAATTGAAAGCCAAGCAAAAAATGTACCTCATAAGGCTTTAGGTGCAACCCAGATTTTAGTTGTTCCTTCAGCTCAACAAAGTTCACGCAGAGGCTTTTGTAGTCTGAAATATGCGTGTATCGTGGCTGAAATATCATTGGCATATATATTAGATACAGCTTAAAACTTGTATATCCATAAGCATTAACATAAAGCAGGACTGAAATAACATTGGCATAGATATCAAATGGGTGTTGTTTAAATACATGTTTTCCATCAAAGTTTGCACATAAGAGATCAATGTTTTATGAAATACATAAAAAGACCATCTTTTTAGATCCAATCTCCAGATGATTGYAGAAGCTTAATCCTCAACAGAATGATAATAAGTCCAAATAATTGTTTGAACATTGGTTTTAAAACTACTGTCAGAAAATCAACATCCTAAATCARACAGCAAGTCAATTCCTAGATCATTGCAAATCACTGTAATGGGAATCAAGGTATAGCATATGATCAATCAGCCAGAAAATAAACCCTAATCACGATAACGAAGGTATADCATATGATCAATAGCATAGGCCAAAGCATACCAAACACATTAGCCCTAATTGATCAATAGGGTTTTAATCGATGCTTCTTTGATAGAAAAACTACTTCGAGATGAACCAAGCAAGGAGAAACAAAAATGAACCAAGCAAGGAGAAACAAAATCGAGAGCTTGAGAGATCGAGATGGATACCTTAAATCGAGAGATCGAGAGGTAGAAGACGGTAGGCGACGCAAGGATCTAGAGATAGGCGATGCGCAGCGATGGAGAGCTTGAGAGAGATCGGGTAGGCGACGCAAGGCGATTGAGAGAGAGAGATCGAGAGCAATCCTGTTGGCGATGGAGAGGGAGCGAGAGCAGTACGGCGAAGGCGAGGAGAAATAAGAGGTTTTCAGACTTTGGATTGCCTCTAAATGAATCAGACCTATTCAGATAAATTAAGCACTTAATTTAAAAAAAAAAACAAACGCACTTAATGCCTCAATGTCTGACCGATTCAGACATAAGAGGCAATTAAGTGTTTTTTTTTTGAAAAACAAAAAGGGCCATAGTGATGACTCTTACCTGGGTAAGCGTTTACTGGGTAAATTGTTGCATACGATATCATTTTAATATACTACAATCTTATCTGGTAAAATAGATTATAGTGTTGACTCCTACTGGTAAGCGCTTATCAGGAAAGTATTTGGCCCCTCACTTACCTTACCAGTAAGCATGGTAAGGACCGAAAACTTTACCAGGTAAGAGGCATTGCAAGGATCAAGAATCTTACCCAGTAAGTGAGGGAGAATACTCTTACCAGGTAAGTACTTACCGCGTAAACAACGCTTACCATAATCCATTTTTATGGCCAAGAATATTACTCGACAAGATAAGTGAAAATGATAATGTTTGCAGATAAACACCAATCTAATAAGTGATTGATAAACGGCCATTTATTTAATTAAGATTTAGATATATATATCATATATAAGGTTAAATAACAAAATGGAGTTACCTTTTTAGAAATTAGTTAGGTAGTGATGGTCATAAAAAATGGTTTTAATGATGCTTTGATCTTGTAAAAAAATTATATATTCCATTGAAGACAAAATTACCAACTTCCTTTCTAAGTCCAAAGTTGTGTGATTCATGACATGTTTTTTTAACCTATTAATGGCCAGAAAAAGTAAGTGGGATTATTTTAGAAAAGAATTATTCGAATGATTTACAATTTTATACATATATATATATATATATATATGACGTTTCAGATGCAACTCATCATATTTGTACAACCAATGCAACCTAATTAATTAATATATTTTTATAGAAGTGATAAAATTCATTTATTATGATTTGAATATTTATTGAAAATGACTAGGATTCATTAATTTATGATCAATATTTTATATTATGAAACAATTAAAACTTTTAAAAAATCATATATTCATTAAATTAAATGGACGATTGACTTGAGATTGAATTGTATTGGTTTTACAAATATTAAGAGTTATCTAATAACTCACCCCTCTCCCTCTATATATAAAAGAATTATTCCTAAAACATCTCAATTATTTCAATTAATATATATATATATATATATATATATAATATTACATTTTCTTATATTGTATCAATGTTATCCAATAAAATAAAATATTATTTAACAAAATATAACCATAAGTTCATAAAGTAAACCTCTTGAAAACTATTTAATTGGGTCTTATGTTTTTTTATTTTATTTGTCACTATTAATTTGTATTATTTATATATCAATTTCTACTATTTAATTTTATTAGTAATTTCTATATAACTAACCACAAAAATTATAAATACGACTTTCATATTTATAACGAAAATGGTAAAATGTTCTTCGAAATAAGAAAACAGGAAATCAATCTCTTTCTCTCTCTCTCTCTCTTTATATATATATATATATATATATATATATATTTGTGTGTGTATTAAGTTGAATTAACATGTTTTTTGTTAGGTCCAATATTATTGTATCCAAGATCACTGTTTATGAAGACAATTGTTGAAGATGGGAAGGTCAAAGTTTATAGTCAACATTGTGCTTAATTGTTAGTTTAACTTCTAGTTTAGTCAATTATACAAATACCTTGTAATAGCTTAGTTTGTACATGGTTCCTTCATTGTCATATCGTAGAGTGAGTCGCAAAGAGAGAAATAACTTGTAAAGTGAGAGATTAATCAATATACATGAAGATTTGATCTTTGTCGTTGTTCTTATTGTTTAACTCATTGTTATCTGATTGAAATTGTGTTTAACAATTGGTATCAGAGCAAATTAAATTTGATTTGAAGAAGATTTGAGCAAAATTTTGAAGTTTTTCAAATCTTTGAAATGTCGAGTGTTCTTGATTTGATTTTGATTGTTTTTGCTTGATCATTTGGTACGGATTTACTAGAAAGACATCACTAATCAATCCTATGAAGTTTCTTTGACTATTTTGAAATTTTCGTAGAATTTTGGTTTACCAAACTCGTTTTTTGTTCTTGAGTAAGTTGGTTTAACTCTTACTATTTGATCCGAATTAGTGTTAATTGGCTTCTTTAATTATGTTTCTGCACTAGCTCTGAGCATCATAATCAAGTTCTAAACATGTTTTTTTGAGTTTTTGGTGTCTCAGTGATCGAAGTTGCATTTTCCTTTCTTATTTATTGTATTATCAGTTAATAGATCTTTCGGATATGTAATCTCAATTTTGTATTTCTTTTTCAGTATTTGTAATCTTTATCTTACAATTAATGAAAGTTCATAACTAAAGTACTTTATTCTATCTAAGTGCTGAAAAGATCCCTCAAAGCAATAAATGGGACAAAGTATTTTATGAGTTCCTTTATGTTTATATTAGCAATTTTCTTTTGTTGCTCTGTCGTCATCAAATAAGGGGAGGTTGTTGATTCAAAACTCTCTCAGTGATTTGATGATTATCATTTTACTTAGTGAATACTTCAGTTCTATTTTACTTTCAGTTTCAGTGATCAATCTTCAGAGTTTGTTCATTGATCACTAACACGCATTGTAACTATTTAGAACTTAATCTCCTCAAAGACAAAAGAGTCCTCAATGATTCTACTTAACAGCTGGATCAATATCTTATGCATCAAGATTAGTCTTACTCTCTTGCATAATAGTACATAGCCCCCCCCCCCCCCCACCCACCTAAATCTGACAAAGGTATAGTATAGGTTTCTTTATTGTCTCCCTTCATGCTCATTAACTTTCTGAGGACATTGTTCATAAACGGTCAAATGTGCACGCTACCTGATGAACAAGTACAACATTTCGTTCATATTGCCAAGTAGTTAAATGCATGGGGTATAAATAAATATATGAGAAGCCTTCATCCCAAGTAGTGATGGCCAAACTGGCCCGGCCCGGGACCGTTAAAGGACCGGATTGGCCCGGGACTAGTAAGGACCGGTAACCGGGACCGGCTCATGATTTGGGGTGTTTCAAGGGACTGAGACCGACCAGGACCGGGATTGGTTATGGACCGGCCCGACACGACCCGATTGTTTTAAAAAACTAGTTGTCTTCTTTTAAAAAATAGAACCATTATTTTTAAAAAATCTAGCCATTTATGATCACTTTTTTTTTTTTACCTTTTTTTGTATTTTTTTGTCTTCTAAACACTATATATACGTGTCTTGATTGAGGGGTTTACATACCAAGTTCTCAATTTGCAAAAAACGCAAAAGAACGTTCACAATTCTCGGTTTCTGACTATATTTTGTGACTGCGACTCGTATTCATTTCTCGTTTCCACTTGACAATTCTCATTTCTTTCTCTCTTTGTCTTACAAAATAGCCGGTCAACAACATGATGCATCAAACGAACAAGTTGCTCAAATTCTTGTCGAACACGGACGAAAGTTCGAGATATGGAATTCATACAACTTGGTGGTCCTCACGAACGGGAAAAAAAAAGACACAAATGCAAAATGTTGGGTCTAAATGTTGTACTCAAATCCCGTGCCAAAACAGTTTTACGTGTTTTGTAATGGTAGGTTTGTTGCTTTGTAATAGTTGCTATAAATAATAGTTAGTGATAGTTTTGTTAGTTAGTACTTTACAACTTCATTTCATAATACAAGCAGTTTGAGAGTGAGAGACATTTTGTATCAAGAACACTTTGTACTCAATTTACATGAATGACATGTCGACATATTGAAATCATCAATAAGTGTTCTTGATCATTGATTGAATTTTTTTAATTAGACTTGAAACTGGGATCACAATTGGTATCAGAGCTATACAGATCAATCTGGATTGGATTTTGGATCGAATTTCATTACTGATTTCTTGAAATCTTGGTTCGAAACTGTATGTTTTTGCTCTTGAAGTTTTTGATCGAGTTGAGCCTGGTTGATCCATTTTTTTGTTGAAATTGGGTGTATTCAATTTGTTTATGGGTGATTTTCGCACATATTTGTGCATCAAATTTCAATTTTTTTTTTTTGTGAATTTTGAGCATTTTTTGTTATTTTTTAAGTTTCTGTTCGAACATGATGTTCATCGCTCGTTAAAGCCTTCATTGTCCGATCAGAGCACCTTTATCGCTCATTCAATGTGTTCTTTGAAGTTTCACCGCTCAAAGTTGAATTTTGAATCTTTCATCTCCCAAGTATCGTGATTTAACCAAGTTTTAAATTTCATCGCTCAAAGTTGTCTTCATCGTTCATCACTCAACTTGCTTCATCGTTCAAGTCACAAAGTACTCATCGCTCAAAGAAAGTATCGAATATAAAAACATCTTATATTCATCAAGAAGATGAGAATACAAAAACGTCTAGGGCCTAATATTGAATCACTCTACTTTATCTTTTAGATTGGTTTTCTGATATGAGAGATCCGTATAAAACGGCAGTCATAGACCATACTAATCCAAATCTTGAAAGAGAAAAGAGGGGACCAGTGGTGAGGCTCTGATACCAAATACAACTAGTTTATCTCACTTAAGTTTTTCATCACCCACCAATAACCTCAATGTGTCACATTTCTTTTGGTTGAGACATATTTACTTTCACTACAATAAAATTGGGTGTAGAAAATGCCACCATTTGAAAGTGTCCGCATAAACTGTTTTATAAGACTTAATTTATAAGATCAAAAAATAAATTGTCATATCTAAAAAATGGTAACTCAATTGTCTTAATAGACCTCTTTATAAGAGGTCTTATAGGACAATCCCAATTTCTAAGCGTCATAATAGACCTCTTTATAAGAATTAGTTTATAGGACAAAAAAAATAAAACGTCTTATTTAAAGACGTTGTAATAAGTTTATATGACGTTTTTTGACGTCATATAAGTTTTTTAGGACACTTTTAATATAAAACGTCCGATTAGCAACTTTATAGGATACTATTTGAAAAAAATTTGGATCCAAATAATAAGAAATGATGAATTGATTATTACTTGTATAGTTATTTGTTTTTCCAAATACAAGAAAACCATATCTTCAATTGTAGTAAATGATATATTGATCTTAATAAAAATATAGAAACGGAATTCTAGTGACGTCACTCATAGTTGATTGAAGAGAGGCATCATTAGATACCTCGTAATTGGTTATGTAATTAGTCAACTTCAAATACAAAGCATCCACCATTTTCATCCAAGAAACCTAATACTTGTAGAATATTCGGTTTTACTCAAGAAAAAATTAAATAGCAACATATGGAATTTACTAGTTCGATTCTAT